GAGAAGTACTCAGATTGTGTACTTGAGTAAAAGTGTAGGAATACTCAATTAAAGTCCTGCATTCAAAATGTTACCCAAGTAAAAGTACAAAAGTATCAGAATCTAAATATAGTTAAAGTAGCGACAGTAAAAGTAGTCATTGTGCAGATTGGTCCATTTCAGAATAATATGATATGTTTTATAACAGAATCCAATGATAGTGATCCAAGTAATAGCCGGTTACATAACTAATTAAAGAGTCGGGGGTCATGCAGATGTGTGTTTACAGTACAGATCTTCAGAGGCCCCTCACTCCACATGTGAACACCGGAACTCTCGCTTTTAAATAAATCGTGATTCCATCTTCTTGACGCCCGGGCAGAAGAAGGGATTGTGCAAGTTGACTTGGCAGCAGTCCTGCAGGAGGCCGACATCTGGAGAGCATTAGGTCTGCAGGAGACGTGAAGCCAGGCACGGCTCGGCTCGGCTCGGCTCGCGATATCAAACTACGTGTCATTAACGCTGTTTTTCCCCCTGGTTCTTAAACAGGTTGCAGGTTACTGACCACCAGACCCTGCTCTAATACATTCTCTTTTATTGGCTGCGATTTCACACGGGAATGGAGAGGGTAAATAAGCATCCTGATGTGACAACATGACGGAAAAATAGAGTGACAACAGGAGGAGGCCTGCAGTGCATTCTGTAGGTTAGTGTGCACTGTGCAGGTCTGGATGGAAACAGGCCTCTGGAGCCAAGAAAAAAAAAGGTTTTTAAACACAACATGAATGTGTTTTTAAGGAAATCTGCAGCGGTGATTTGCACAGAAATGCAGCGAAATGCACAGAAATGCAGCGGAGGTATTGCTTGTGAATAGGTGCATGTAAACGCCTCACAGAGAGCAGAGCATTAGCAAAGAAAGACGCTGATTGTTTGAATTCGCAAAGCTGGTTTATAACAATTAAAACATCTAGATAAAAGACATCTGTAGCTGCACAGAAACCGAGGATGGAGCCATGCACAGCACCACGGCTTTCACTGGTAACACGAATTTATTTACCGCTGCCCTGTCGACAATGAGCCCCCCCACACACACACACACACACGAGCGCGCGCGTCTTTACCTGCAATCGCTCCGACGCAGGTTGCCACATATTCGCAGTCTCGCAGGTTCTCCGTGTCTCACTACAGCGTGTTCTCCTCCCGGGGTCCGGCTCACATCTGTCGGCTGTCTCGGCTCTTCTCTCTGTCCCGCTCCGGTCTGCGAGGCTCGGTCATGAAGGATGTGTTGCTCCGCCTGGCTGCAGTGCTGAGAGCCGCCGCCAGGTGGAGCTACCTGCCCCGTGGCGTTCAGGTGCTGCAGGGAAATCAAGGCTCCGAGCATGAAGAGTGCAGACAGTGAAAGTGTTGTTTTGAGCTGTTTTATGTTGGAAAATCAGTGTACTGCAAGTCTTCGGTTCAAATCATTTAATGACAGTTAATAATATGAGTACAATCATGAGACATAATCGAAATATATTAATGTATAAGCTAAGCTAATAGAAAGTATTTACAATGTTAATTGCTAAGACATGGAGAATTGGAGAAAGAATGTATTATTATTATTGTTATTATTATTATTATTGAGTATTGTAAGTATTATTATTTGTATTATTATTCTCTTATTATTCATATTTTTATTATTATTATCATTTTCTATTCATTATTTATTACTATTATGATTATTATTATTATTGCCTGTAAATTGTTGTGCCATATCACTGCTCATTTTCAATATACTCACGTGCAATTATTAGTTTACAATCTATTAAAACAATTTTTTCAGCTCTTTCAATATTTTCATGTATTCACTTACCATTTAAAATACTGCTATTCATTTTTCACCATGGTGATCTTATTTCCTTCGCGTCTTTGGGAATTGTATTCCTTTGTAAACCGTTTACATGCACAAAAAACATATATAACCGACTACAGGAAAGGGAAAACCCCAAAAGGCATAATAGTCCCTCTTTAAAACAAACTGAGTTCCTTAAATGGTCTCCACCCTAAATGATTCTCTGTAATACTTATCTCTTGAAAATAAAAATTACCATCTTCTCCAGTGACATAGTGGTAGGAAATGAGCTGCTAAAACAATCAAGCAGCCAATATAATACATACAGAAGTATTCATTTTCGTTTAATGTAAAATCAGCATGAAAAATGAATGATTTTTCCGCTAGCATTATGATATTGAGCTTCATTATGTATAAAAAAAGACTTCAAGGCCTCAGAGGATGAGTCATCCAGACCGAAGCAGCTAGCCAGCGCAGGAATGCAGTTAAAATGGAAATGATCGTATAAAAACTTAACATAAATGGCGTGGCATTATTTCAGTGGTTGGTGGTTTTTGAAAAAAGTGGTTTGTTTAATTCCTCCATTCTCATTATTCCCAAGTTTCACAAAGGCAGCTAAGGACAGAGTCTCTGTAGTCGTGCCGACACATTTTGATCTGCCTAATCTTCTCAATAACAAGTCAAGTTGTACCAAAAACAAGCAGTCCTCCTCCTGCCTGATTTCAAATAAGCTAGGTTTTTGTGACCTTGTTATTCTAAAAGTGCGGTCTGGGAATCCGCTGAAGCATCATCCATTATTTGTGGGAAATGTTGAATGAATTTATTCTCCTGCTGCCAGGACGCTTTGACCGTAAATCCTGAAATATGAAAAGTGATATTGTTTCTGATGAAACCACAGCCAGGAGAGACAATCTCAGTTTATCAAAGGGAAGGCCTTGAAGGAGACGTATAGACTCTCTGTCATAGCTCTGTTGTGTTCAGGGACCCGTGTCAGGCCAGTTTGGGAATACTCTGACCCTCCAGGGCACACAGGGGGCAAAGGTCAAGCACAAGGCCTCCAAAGAAAACCATAAGCAAAGGTGAGAGCCATCAATAACATCTGGTGCTCGTGTGTGCGTGTGTGCGTGTGCGTGTGCGTGTGCGTGTGTGTGTGGGGGTGTGTGTGTGTGTTATATGTAGGTGTGTTTCTCAGTCTGTATTTAGCGATGTTTACATGAGGAACATCTGGATAAAGCCTCAGGTCACAGAGTGTGTTCTCATTACCAACACTCCATAAAAGGGCTTTCCCACGATGCAGTCTGGTGGGTATGACCTTGGGACGTTGCAGAGACACACACTGCTGATTCTTCTTTCTTGTGGTTTTTGTTTGCATATTTCTAAAGAAAATACAAAACAATAAACAGGATCCATGCATTCAAAACAATTAGATAAGTTCAGACCAAAACTCATTGCAGCATGTCATCTAATCATGGCTGCATGGGTTAAAGGAAAACTGCCTTACTGACACCTTATTTTGAAATAAAATGGTCAGTAGTTTACGGAGAGAGTCATCTTTCTTTGTCCCTTTTGAATTGTGCCAGGAATTAATGAATTCCTGTTTGTTAGATCATTTTGAAGGTCAAGAAAGTCAAGTTTGTGCTAAAACTGTTAAAGTATAATGCTGCGTTCACACCGGACGCGATGCGATTTTTGGGGGCGGCGCGATTACATGTAAAGTCAATGCAGAGATGTGGACAGACGCGAATTCGCTCCGATGGCGCGCATGAAGCGGTTGATGCGAATGCCGCGGCGCGATTGAGGCGATTGGAGTGGGCCGCGACAACCGCTCGAGTTCAATTTCTTCAACTCAAGCGTCAAATTGGCGTGACGCGATCTCGCGGTAGCCAATCAGCGGTGAGGATCTCAGCCAGCCATCACTGACGTTGAACCAGAAAACCAAAACATCAGCCGTTAGCTGTTAGCACTCAGAGCTCACAGCTTCTCATATCTGTTCAGAAACTAGACAAAAGTTAAAGAAGTACAAACCACAGACTGTCTGTGTCATGGTGAATACAGTCGCTGCTTTATTTATGTCTGTATGCCGTTGTTGTGAGTGTGGACGGTCGGAGCATATACAACGTTAGCTTAGCCTGATCGATCCGATCTCCATTCAGAAAAGACGCATTTTAAAAGGTTTTTCGCCTGCCTCTTGTCTGCAGACTTGTCAAAGCATTAATTCATGGTTTTTACTAACCGGTATCAGTATGTTGTTACTTCGGCATCATTTTGAAACGTGTATTACAATTAAATCACGGTCAAATATGTTCATTTTATTGTAGTTGTAGCTCCCTAGCCAGCACGTCTTGTTTGAATGATGCGAGTAAACACAGCTGACAGCCGCGGTGAAAGTCGAGTGTTTAGAGCGATGCGATAGGAGCGATTAGAGCGAAGCGAATATTCGCATCGCGTCCGGTGTGAACGCAGCATAAGACTGTTACAATACAGAATTAAAAAGACTACACAACCAGAACTAAAACACCTGGGTTTGGTACAGGGATGTACTCTAACGATCACCATGACTTGCTTGTTAATTTACTGCTTATTAGTTGATAAAAAGACTACAAAAGTCCATAAAAAACATCAGGTATAACGTTACATTTGTGTGTGGAACATACAGTAGCTAAGTTACCCAGCTAGCTCGCGCAGGTGACATGTATACGAGAAAGGAGAATGTAGTTCACTAAGCTGTTTCTCACAAAACTAAATGGAAGGACTTGACTTTCAAAATGATGTTTTAAAGAGGCCCTGTTGTGCTTTTTGGGTTGACCTTTTCCTGTAGTGTGTTATATAGGTTTGTGTGCATGTAAATGGTCTGCAAAGGCTGAAATCCCTGTGTTCCCTCCATTAGACTCCTTAGTTTACTTCTGGAACATAATGACATCACTATGTTACACTCACACTTCTATTGGCTAGTGCTCCAACACATTGTACGTGATAGGCTGACCAATCACAACATTAGAAGTGGGAAGTATTAGGAAATGGAAATACTCAGATTGATTACAAGTACCTCAAATATGTATTTTAGTACAGTAATAAGTACATTTACTTAATTACTGTCCAAAAGTGCCCACATAAGATGAATGTAGTGCAATGTTCCCCCCCTGCTGTCGTCACTGCAGAACAACAACAACACATGAGACACACAGACGCCTTCTGTTGTTCACTTGAATCTTTATTGTTTACATCATTCAACATAGATAATAAGTAACCATGTGGCCAATGTGTTTAAAATGAGAGAGAAATCAATAGCTGAGCCTATTGGTAAAACATTGCTTGACCTTGAGAGGAACAACACAGCTGCACGGACAGAGAGTTTTCCAATGGCAGGACACAGAAGCACATTTAAATCACCCTCCTCTTCTTCATCTTCCTCCTCCATTACATCCACCCTAAAGCCAGTAAATAATCACCCTATTCAACACCGTCAATACTAGAGGTGAATGTGTACACTGATTAAAACCAACTATTTGTCTGTGTATTGAGAGATATACCTACCTATTATCCTAAATATCACTGATATACATACAGCAGGATGGTAGGGTCACAGTACTTCTGTAAACTTTCTTTACTAATCATACACCAATGATAAAACTTGCATGTAAAGACGATATGTATTTTAAAAAAAAAGAAAACTGTGTGACTAGTATTTTTATACACGTGTGTATTTCCTCTACTAACCACAAATCACCCCCTCCCAAAAAGATATTTGGTACAATCTTGAGAAAAAACAACAACAACCAAGTACAAAGGATTTGGAAATAATACAGAGAACATCTAATCTAACCATGCACGAAGTAAGGCAACCTACTGCAGATTTTTTTTTTTTAAGATATAGAAAAAGATACAGTGTATGCACCGAGAGGAGTGCATCTATTTCTACCACACCATCAGCGCTGCCTGCTGAGATTACACGTAGAAATGTTGGGCCGTGGGTCGCAGACAGACAGTCTAAAGTCATCTCTCTTGTACAGCAGAGCTTACTGGTAGTGTCGTCAATAACTTAATGCATCGTATGCTACAATAAAGCCTTATCAAATTCCAGATTTTTTAAACTACAGAGTATGTTTTTTTTTTCTAACTATACATTCAATTTTGTTCTGCTGTTGTTTTTTTCTTAAGAAATACTTCAAGATGTATACTGACGTTCTGTTTATATATGTGTGTGTTTGTGTGTAGCTTGTGAAAGGATGGTTGTGTTTTACAAATCCTTGGTCTTGATGAGGGTGACCAGAGGCTTGTCGTCAGGACTGTAGTCCTCGTAGGCGATGGGAGTCGCATCATACATGGCAGGCTTGGCCTTCTTGCCAAATCTAAAAAAATAAAAGCATAACAGTGCTTGTTAGTACATTGATGGAAAGTAACTCAGTACAATTACGCATGTACTGTAGCCTACTTAAGTACAATGTTGTACTGTACTTGAGTATTTCCATTTAAGCTTTAGTAAGCCTACTTTTCAGATTCTGCATTGAAAAAACATTTGATACACTTCTATCATAATGTATTTATAAATATGATACTAGTGGACTAACTGTTTAAAGGTAGGGTAGGTAAGTTTGAGAAACCGGCTCGAGATCGCTAGAATTTGAAAATACACAACCGGAGAAAATCTGCCACTTCCTTACAGAGCCCCTCCTCCAACACACACGAACGCGCATATGACCAATGAGGGCACGAGATAAGTTTGTGCACAGGCTGACAGGCAGGTAGGCCATCCAGTTATTTTAGCCGGGCCGGCTCAGATGATTGGTCGTGCTTTTTACAGTATTACGGCTTCCACAGATGAACATTTTTTTTTATGGATTTTTTGTCAAAGCACTTAAGATATTCATTGCTATCGGGATGTTAAGAGCATTCCATGGAATATAACAAGAAGTGTATCTCGAGCCGGTTTCTCAAACTTACCTACCCTACCTTTAAGTCACAAAAAAGGTGCATATCTGAAGCTTCTACTGTATGTCTTAAAAACAGCGGTTGCTAACAAGTGACTAAATCAATCTAGATGACTTCATCAAGCCGAACATTAGCCTCCTTTAGCTTAGCGGTGTCAATGTGAAGTCATGTGATCGTGATGAATTTTTTTTTAAAGCATAATGTTGGCTTCAAACTTGTGGCAGTTGCATACGCTTAAAAAATAATTAAAGCAGTGTTAATATGTGGAGATTATCCGGCTGAACAAAACGTGAAAGTATCATAAACATATTTTTGCCACAGGTCTTAGTGTCTTTTAATGGAAAAATCCAATTGCTTTTATTCGATGGAGTCCTTTGCAATGCTAGCTTCCAGGTCAAACGTCATCACTGCACCACTTTTTCGTGCATATGATATCAATGATAATAAATAATTAGCTTCCTTGAATAATGGGTGGAGTTCCCCTATTAAAAAAATGCAAATTAACCCAAAGCACCAACACAGAAATGGCTGTTTTTAATAACATCTACCTACTAAACACTTTGTTGTCTGTCACTGACCTGGCGTGGCGGATGGACGCGATGGCGTTGCTGAACTCGCTGTCAATGCTGCGGCAGTTGTAGAACTCCTGGTAGGCGTGGCGTGACGATCCCTGGTACTCGATGCGGCTGATACGGCAGATGCCCACGATGAGGATGATGAGCATGAGGACGAAGGCCACGCACAGCGCTCCGATGATGATGTAGAGGGAGTGGCGGGGCATGTTGGTCAGGGTGTCCTCCGTGTGGGCCGGCTTCCACTGCAGGTCTGAAATAAAGAAAGACGGAAGTATAATAATAATTCCAAAAAACTATAATAAAAATACAATAAATACAAAATAATAATTATAATACAAAAATTCATTTTATTTTATGTATTTTTTTACTTTAATTCTTAGTTTTTTGTTTGACTAATACGTATAATTTAAACATAATCTAATTAGATATCATTTTGTCAGGTCTGATAATAAATCAATTTCGATGAGCTGTTTTCAGTAAGGCATGTCAGTAGGGGGCTTGGACTGGGAGCCGTAGGGTCGCCGGTTCAAGTCCGCGACCAGACCTAAAATATGGAGTGTGGACTGCTACTTGGAGAGGTCCCAGTTCACCTCCTGCCCTGCCGTGGTGCCCTTGAGCAAGGCACCGGACAACCCCCTTCCCCCCTCACTCCAATTGCTCCCCGGGGGCTGTACAATAGCTGCCCACTGCTCCTAGTACTAGACTCCTGGTACTAGGATGGGTTACAAGCAGAGAACACATGTCACTGTGTGTGCTGTGTGCTCTGCATGTGTGACCATTAAAGAGGGGTCTCATCCCTCCGATTCTATTCTCTACTTGATTGTTGGAATAGATTTTTTATTGTATTTAAATAACGTTTATAATTGGCTAAATACATTGAGATTTCTATGTATTTGATTACATTTTTGAGTGACTGATACTGGTGGAAATAAATGCAGGTCAAAATAACAAAAAAAAGACAGGTTTATTTTGTCTTATAAACTATTTCCAAATGTTGTCGACCCGAAAATGTAGAAAAATTAAACCATATTTAACTCAAGACCTGTTTAAAAAGGCTTACAATAAGAAAAATAAAGAATTTAGTTTGTGTGATATGTCCGTTGTTGTCCTCCAGCCTTTCAAATTCAGACAGACATTAAGAAGGAGAGAGGAAAAGCCCCCTCACAGAGAGAGGGGGCATGTAGCTGCTTCTCATGTGAGATGAATAGCTGAACGCAGGTTTTCTGGCAGGCTGACTTACGGATCTCACAGCTGGGCCCCACCCACCCAGGTGGACAGTGACAGGTGAAGCCGTTTGATTGGTCGACGCAGGTGCCTCCATGGTGACAAGGGCTGCTCTCACACTCGTTAACGTCCACCTCACACTTCTCCCCTGGAGGGACGGGAGAGGGTTGCGTTCAATAACAAGTAGAAGAAGCAGAATCTGAGGCGTACAGTTTTCACACTCCTGATGAGGCTGTTTACAAAACCATGGACTTAGAAGCAAAATGCAGAATGTCATACATCAATATTATTTTAAAATAAAATAAAATAAAATCAGGTTTTATTTATATAGCACATTTAAAAGCGATTTTTGGTCGAGCCAAAGTGCTGTACATGTAATAAAAACACATTACTACAATCACAATAAACGACAATAAATTACAACAGATATATATTTAAAAACAAAATAAAAATAAAACACACGGAAAAGTGTGGAAATAAGAAAAACTTCTCTTAACCCTCAAGGGAAATTGAGGTGTCAGAGCAGCGGCTTCAATAAGAGTGAAGCATAGGACATGTAAGAGCTTATACAGGGATACAAACAAAAAGTGTAAGTAAGTATGAATACAAATAACAACAATAGGTCAACACTGAGTAGCTGAATGGATATGAACAGTTATATGTCTAGGTGTAAGTACAAGTCCAAAATAGGTATGTACTATACAAGTCTTTATTACATACAATTCAGGTCATAAAGATGTTTTTTTAAGAAGTATTTTTTAAAGCCGTCATTTTGGAGCTGCTACTAGATACCACTGGCTATGTTGATCAGGTATTACGACAAAAAAAAAACTGTCAACAAGGGCATCTTCTCGTTTAGTCATTATTATCTTGAATGCAGTCTATAGAAGCATTGTTTACCATATCCTTACATATAGATTTATAACCATATACATTTTCAGTCGGCAGTAGCTCAGTCTGAAGGGACTTGGCTTGTGAACTTAAGAGTCGCCGGTTCAAGTCCCGATCAGACAGAGTGTGGACCGTTAGCTGAAGAGGTCCTAGAAGTGCTAGGACTGTCCTTGAGCAAACTGGGACTGAAACAACTTGGCCTGTTTGCTCTGACACCTCTCCATAAAAAAAAGTGCATGTTTACAGTATCTGTATGTGTGTATCAAGACCTAGTGTGTCCTTTGCATGTGTGCATTTGTTCTAACAGAGTGAAAAATGATTAATAAAGTCACTTCTTCTTAATTTCATTCCTACAGTATAATAGGCGGTTAGTGTTCTGCCGATGCTCACCCAGGTATCCCGGCTGGCAGGAGCAGGACACGTTGAGTCCTTCACTCTCACAGCGCCCTCCGTTCTGGCAGCGCATCTTCAGACATGGATCCTTGTAGATTTCACAGTGTCTGCCTGCACACACAGAACAGGCCATATTAACACCACAACATGCACTAGTCTACAGCAGCGGTGTCCAAACCACGGCCCGGGAGCCAAATGCGGCCCGCGGACCATTTTGAATCGGCCCCTCAGCAAATTCAAAAAGTATAATGACTTAAGTATACTGTAATAAACTTGTGCTTTTCTTATATTGTACTTCTTAATATATATATGTTCAAATATATTACACAGTATTCATGTGTTAATAAGCCCAATTTTCAAATACATTTAGTCAATACAATTTGAAAACATGTTCTAACAAGTTGATAAGAAAAAAGCCTAATACATTTTTCTGTATGTGGCCCTCGGAGAAAAAAGTGTGGACACCCCTGGTCTACAGTATACAGAGGTCATGCATCTAATAATAATAATAATCCCAAACTCAGACATACCTTCAAACTGTGTAGTGCAGACACACTCGTAGGCGTTGATGAGGTCCTTGCAGGTGGCGTAGTTCTGGCAGGGGGCTGACAGACACTCGTTGTACTCCTCCTCACAGTACAGCCCGTGGTAGCCTGAATGGGAAACAGAAATAGAGTATATATCGAGTCATTACATATTTAGTCATACTATACATTTTGCTGCATTGCCCTATTTTATCTAGGGGAGGGTTGAACTGTAAATGAAAGCTCTTTGGCTGTGATAAGCAGTTAATATAACTCATTCACATATACTGTACTGACCCTCCAAATAACTCCGCATTATGTTTAGCATTTGGTGGCGCTATGGTACTTGCATGACTTTAAAACACCCACAATCATGACCTTTAATCATCATAATCAATAACCGTTCATTGCCTTCCAAAAAAAGGGATATACTTTCATGTAAATAAGGTATAATACGTGAAAAAGGTGTGGTAATGGGTTGCCTGAAGTAAGACTAAAGGTGTAGCAGAGAATTGATTTGACAATGTATACAATATGCTTTAAACAAACAGTCTAATGGTGTATGGCAATCTGGAGGACATTAGGATGGTTACGATTGGTCTAACATTTGTATTACTCTGCGCATGTGTGTAGACTTGTTTATATGTAAAGAAGGAGAAAGAGTGCACGTGTGTTTATGTATAATACTCTTGCCAGGGATAAAGAAAAATGCAGAAAGCAGGTTCCTCAAAAGGTTCCTACATTCATTTCCAATGTACTTCACCAAAGAACCTCAAAGACAAATGCAGCACAACGGCTAACAGAGCAGCCACATATCTTTACATCTGCAAAAAAACACAAGGAAACTTCAGATATCAATCACCTAACATTTGTTAAGTGTAGGAATATATTGTCAGTCCCGTATTTTGCCCCTGAGCTTCAATGGCATTGGACAGAAGGTCAAGTAGCATGCAGTGCTCCGTGTTTTCCATAGGATGGCAGCTGTGCAACATCTGAGAGCATGGTCAGTGCATGAGTCACAGACAATCTATTATTCTCCAGTGACATTGAAGAACGTAAAATAAAGTGTACTGTACAGATTGTAACTCTGATGTGATACAGTTGATGGGCTCGTCATTTAGATAAATCTGTTAAAAACAAGAATGGACCTGAGGAAAGAGTGGATGTCAATTTATTTTATGAAAGTCACTGTGTATTAAATCTCAAAGGACTTTTGCTGGAAATAAATCAGTGGTGGTCAGTAACAAAGTATTACATAAAGTATATTATGATGCTAATATTTATTTAGTTTTTTCTTAAAGGGGACCTATCATGCAAAATGCACTTTTGTACGTCTTTTATACATGAATATGTGTCCCCGGTGTTCCAGGGAACTCACCAAGTGTCAGAAAACACAACCCTCTCTATTTTCCTCCATACCCATATCTCTAAAAAAGGGGCTGCAACGGATCTGATAAAAACTGATCCAGATTTGAACACTGTCCTGATGTCAGGACGGTGGCGCTACGGCTATTGGGCCAATCCAGATATGAACACTGTCCTGACATCAGGAGGAGACAGCCACGGCCATTGCCGTTCGAAAGCGCTGGAGACGCTGTAGTACATATGCCAGGCCTCTAGATGGTGCTGTTGCTCACAGAATCAACCCTTGCTAAAACAGAGCTAACATTTTTCAAATTGAGCAAAATGAGGCATGGCTAAAATGCATGATCTGTTTGGTATTTTGAAAAAAAAAAAGTATAAATATGCCTTATATAGGTATGGTCCTACACTATATTATTCAAATATAGCATGATAGGTCCACTTTAAGTAAGACAAATAACAAAACATGTAATCAAAGTGCCTATTCTAATATTTGGTTGTAATGTATAGTATGTCAAGAAATATGAAAAAAGTCATATTATAATATCTAAAAAAATACATTTTAAAAGACATAGTATAATATGTACTTAGGGGAATTCATCCACAAAAAACACACTGGATGCTGCACTAGGTCAGAAACCAGAGGAGACTGTGAGGTCCACTGCAGACGGACCACTTTTGGTCAAAATGTCCTCTCAATTAAAGGCAGCTCTTTGTGGAATAGCCTCCCTACTGAGATACGGGATTGTCCCACTCTCAATAGTTTCAAAGGTCAACTCAAAGAATGGTTGAGAAACAAACAGACGTGCGATCACCGCTAAATGCACTTTAACACAGGGGTATCTCCTCTTGCACTTTAGGTAGCACTTGTATCTTCTCTTGCACTTTATATGTCGTTGCTGCTACATTGTACTGCCATGTGGTAAATACTTGTGTATGCTGCTCTTGCTCTTTGGCACCTTTTGCATATCATGTATTTTGTTTTTGCTATGTTTGTAAAATGTAATCTTCTTAAATGTTTTATGTGAGGGACTGCGGATGGAAATTAGCTCAAAGCTAAATCACTGTTACGCTTGACACATTTAAATGTTTTAAGTGTTCATTGTCCCTGCTAAATAAACAATTAAATAAATAAAAATGTCGCAAAAGTATTTAAAAAGTCATAGTTAACAAAATCATAGTATAGTATGTCAAAGAACATGTAAAAAAGTATATAAGTTATAATGATGTACTTTCCCACTCCCAGCTGCACTTCATAGAGATGCTCCACCATGTACAGTTTGTAAAGTATGACTGGAGTAGCAATCTGTTTTCATTAGCTCCGCTCCCACTGACTACGTTTCTCAGTTGGGTCCCAGCGCTGACGAAGTTTCAAACAATCCCTCCCCGGGCTTTAGCTAACGTGTGTTTGGGGATGGAGAGGAATTAATGAGGAGCCCAGTTAGAGCCTCTCGGGTCTGTGAAATGCCAGTGAAATGTCAAGTGCCTTTCCAAGACTCGCTCTGCATGCCGGCTGGTGTCCTGGCAGCCGCTGACGGGAGCGGGATTACAGGAGACTGGAGGATGGATCCGTCTACATATCAGCTCCTCAGCAGCTTTCTGTCACGCATTTACACAACATACACACTTACACAAGGCAGATTAACACACACACACACTGCTGTATTCATGACAGAAATGCACATGAATACAGACGTTCATATGTAACTCATACCTCTTTACTGGCATTCTGAGGAGGTGAGAGAAAAAGGTCAATTTTGGTCCAAAACATTTAGTATGCGAGGTTGGTAATATGTGTTTCTTTCTTTTTTTGTTTTCATTTCTTTATTAAGGAGTGCAGATTTAACAGATAATACAACCATTTTTCACATTTCCTGGTTTTGGTTTTCTTATTACAGGAAATTGCACTACCACCCCTCTTTTGTTACATATAAGAAAACAAATGTGTTTCTTTCTTACAAATGAGCCGAGATTAGTTTTGAATGGTTTTATATGAGAGGCCTTATATGCTTTTTGGGGTTTTCCTTTTCCTATAGCAACTTTTTAAACAATAAAGCATGTAAACATGTCACAGTAGAGGCACAATATACCCATATAAACCTAAAAATAAGCTAAATATGTCCTCTATGAAAGAGGTGACCTTGACAATGATATGTCTTTTTAATTACTTTACTTTTAAGCAAAAAGCAATTACATATTCGTAACATACTGCAATATGGGAAATCACCCATCAGAATTGGATTATTCCTTATTATTTGGAAATCATTAGTTATTCACAATTTTTAAACATAATCTACTGGCCACAGCACCACATATCTTCTTAAATAATGGTAGTTATTTAGCAAAGCGCTAACATACAGTATTACACAAAACGCCATCTCTCATAATTATGATTATTGTGCTATTGTGTGTGTGTGTGTGTGTGTGTGTGTGTGTGTGTGTGTGTGTGTGTGTGTGTGTGTGTGTGTGTGTGTGTGTGTGTGTGTGTGTGTGTGTGTTTTGTCTGCAATGCTAATTACGAAACACCAACTCACCAATCCCATTAGACAGGGTGCTCTGAGTGCTTACATTTGATTGGACGACAGCATTTGCTCAATCAGCATAGTCACAGACACAGACAATTGATTGGGAGCCAGCCACAAACACACATGTACACACACGTACACACACATGTACACACACACACTTCTTCACCATGGCAACCAGACAACGGAGGAATAAAGGGGAATGAGATGGAGTGAACGGCAGGAAGATAAAGGACAAAGGGACAAGGACTAGAAGGAACAAAAAAAGAAGAGAAATGCAAAATACATAAAAAAATATGACTGAGGATGCGCGGAAGAAAATAGATATCTGAATAATTGGAAAGAAGCGGTTGACTGCTCCGCACGGCAGGACACAGCGAGAGTGAAAGCTTTTGAATAAACATGAGAAACATGACTTATGGGGGGATTATCGACTCAAGCAATAACTTTTAAATATTCAGGAAACTGTTTCTTGGGCTGAAAAAGAGCAAAACAAATTCTAACTTCAAACCAATTAGTGATAAATAAAGTGGTGTACCTCAGGGATCAGCCCTAGGCTCCCTTATACGTTTCCCCTTAATGAAATAATGTGCAAATATGGTATTAATTTCCCTGCTATTTTGATCAAACACAACTCTATGTACGTGTAATCCAAATGACCTTTTCCAAACTCCTACATTTAGAGGCAGGCTTATCATGACATTTAAAAAAGGATGCATGTGAACCTTTTGCTGTTGAATGCATATAAAAACGGGTTGAAGGTCTAGTCAAAAATGTGTATTTGTATTACATATTGAGTGTCAACATTGATGGCTGTATAACTCCTAAACCTGACCTTAAAAAAAAACTGTAATTGTTTTTTATTTTATTTATTGCCTAACAAAATCCAACGTATTACATGGCTTAGTTGAATACTCGATTCTGATTGGTCAATGTGGACACTCCAGAGGTCTCGCTAGCAGAACGTTGCTAAAGAGGATGCTCCTTAGCTACAGTATGTGGAGTCATATCAATCCGCAGAAAGATGTCCGGTCACTTTAACATCTGCTGCGGACAACAAAGATTCATTTTCAACCATCAGAAAACACAGTTGAATACTTTTTGAAGAAGAAGACAGGAAGTAAACATCAAAGGGAACAGCAGAAGAAGACAGACAGGGAGTAAACACTAAGAGGAAAACCTTAATTAATTAATTTGTATTCCCAGACTGTAGTATTATGTTTGCGCTTGTCTTCCAAGTCTAAGTATTCTAAGGTTACAATCTCTCCTAAAAGCCATGATGCAAAAGAGACAGTAAGAAGCCGCTATGCTGCTGATGAAGGGGAATGAATGGAGCATCAAAATGGAGATCCAGATGTTGATTGGCTCATATTAAACTGACAGACTGTATAAACAGAGAGCAATAGGGGCAAAGTGTCACATTACGTTCATGGGCCACTGGGAAAGTAATCTATTTCCCCATCCTGGCTAGGTAATTGCAAGACAATGGATTATGAAAAGTCATCATTCCACTCAATTGATTTCATCACAGAGGCATCGGTGCGAGTGCAACGATCGCCCCTTTCTAAAAATAACTCATCATACAGACGGTCGAGACTTGCTGCTGCTCTGAGGCTGAGACCATTTTCAGTTTTAACTATATGCTGGTTGCAAAGCTGGATTTAGAGCGTTGATGAATTAGGAACAAGGTGTCTTTAGATGGATTTCTTAATGGCTCAAGGGGTCCGAGAGGAGAGCCCACACTGGAAAAAATAATGCTCCAAAATCAAGTTTAAAAATAATGAAAACAAGCTGTTTTCACTTGAAATAAGTACAAACATCTGCCAATAGAACAAATGAAAATGTGCTTGGTAAGAGAACTTGAAATAAGAAGGGATATTTAGATAAATCAGATCTTGTAATTAGCTGGGAGAACTCATTTTGAACTATATTTGACCAGAATCAGGAAATGTTGTGTTATAATATATGTCGCAAATACTCAAAGGTTTTTCTGTTTTCTGATGTTAGTTGGTGATTTTCTAATAAATATGTAAAACAATATGTGTTTCATCTGAGATACGACTCAAAATAAGATTGTTTGACTTAACAAGATGATGCATTGTCTAAAAACAAGACCAGATATCTCACTGCAGTGTTACTTCTGAAGTTATTCTGTCTTATATCAGGTGTGAAGACATATTCTGACTAGATATTAGAAGAAATATACTTGGCAAGATTTCAAGTTTTTGTAGTGGAAAGGCATTAGCTTCTGATTTTTGGTTGGAAAGTGGAAGTGGTAATTCAAAAGTAAGAATGTATTACTTTGGCTCAAGGTCCGTTATAATGAAGTATCTTTTAAAGTCAGATTTTTCCATTTCCCTTTTACATTACATCAAGTGCAATCAATCCCTGAAGATAACAACTCAGAACAGCAAGAAACCTGCACCTACATTCGCTTTAAATAAGCCAAACCATGTTAAGTACTTTTTTCACACACATACAGTAGCATCACAGCTTTCCCATGACTTCTTTCTATAGGATATTGAATAGTGTTTGTTGAGAGAAAGGTGAAGGTGGATCAGCTGTGGCAGGAGGCTCTTTGTGAACAAAAATGACAGGTTCTCGTGTCTAGCATGAACAAAATACTTCAGTTCAGGATCTCTTTAAACTAAAAGCCCAAATCTTGCCCTCATTTCTCTTTCTGTGTTTACATTTATTTAATTGTGTATCTATATGTGTGTGTCATCTTGTGAAGATGGCTTGACAAATTAATACAAAGTTGATGAACAAATTGAGAACAATTTTAAGTGTGTACATTCAAATGGGCAAATTCCTGCAACACACATTATTTTATTATGTACATACGCTTTACATATATCCAGAGGTGGCAGAAGTACTCAGATCTTGTACTTAAGTCAAAGTAGAAGTCAGATCTTGTACTTAAGTAAAAGTAGAAGTACTCAGATCTTGTACTTGAGTAAAAGTAGAAGTACTCAGATCTTGTACTTAAGTAAAAGTAGAAGTACTCAGATCTTGTACTTAAGTAAAAGTAGAAGTACTCAGATCTTGTACTTAAGTAAAAGTAGAAGTACTCAGATCTTGTACTTAAGTAAAAGTAGAAGTACTCAGATCTTGTACTTAAGTAAAAGTAGAAGTCAGATCTTGTACTTAAGTCAAAGTAGAAGTCAGATCTTGTACTTGAGTAAAAGTAGAAGTACTCAGATCTTGTACTTAAGTAAAAGTAGAAGTACTCAGATCTTGTACTTGAGTAAAAGTAGAAGTCAGATCTTGTACTTAAGTCAAAGTAGAAGTCAGATCTTGTACTTGAGTAAAAGTAGAAGTACTCAGATCTTGTACTTAAGTAAAAGTAGAAGTACTCAGATCTTGTACTTGAGTAAAAGTAGAAGTACTCAGATCTTGTACTTGAGTAAAAGTAGAAGTCAGATCTTGTACTTAAGTCAAAGTAGAAGTCAGATCTTGTACTTGAGTAAAAGTAGAAGTACTAAGATCTTGTACTTAAGTAAAAGTAGAAGTACTCAGATCTTGTACTTGAGTAAAAGTAGAAGTCAGATCTTGTACTTAAGTCAAAGTAGAAGTCAGATCTTGTACTTGAGTAAAAGTAGAAGTACTCAGATCTTGTACTTAAGTAAAAGTAGAAGTACTCAGATCTTGTACTTGAGTAAAAGTAGAAGTACTCAGATCTTGTACTTGAGTAAAAGTAGAAGTACCAGATTGTAGGAATACTCTGTTACAAGTAAATCCTGCATTCAAAATGTTACTCAAGTAAAAGTACAAAAGTATAAGCATCAAGTCCCTCATAGTTGTACTTAAGTGCAGTACTTGAGTAAATTAACTTAGTTACTTTTAACCACTGCATAAATTAGAAAATCTTAAAACGAGATGAGTTTGGATAAACTCTGCACCTTAAGCCTTTACAAAAAGCACTAAAACCCCCACTGCTCACCTGGGACGCACAGACACCTGTAGCTGTTGTCCACAAATAATAATGCAACGTTGATGAACAAATTAAGAAAAATTGGAAGTGTGTAACAAAATTGTCCAAGAACTCTATTACATACATTCAAATGAGCAAATTCCTGCAACACACGCGCTTTTATTATGTACATACTCTTTACATATATCCATATCTTGTACTTAAGTAAAAGTAGAAGTACCAGAGTGTAGGAATACTCTTAGGTGGGATAAGTCCCTCAAAATTGTGCTAAGGTGCAGTACTTGGCTAAATTTACTTTAATATAAATCTGAAAATCTTAAAACGAGCAAAGCTGTCCCATCTCTAAGTGACATTGGATAAACTCGGCACCTTAAGCCTTTACAAAAAGCACTTAAAACCCTGCTGCTCACCTGGGACGCACAGACACCTGTAGCTGTTGCCCACACTGCGGCAGACCCCGTGGGCACATGGGTTCAGGGCGCAGAAATCCACCAGCTGGGCGCACGTGGGGCCGGTGAAGCCCGCCGTGCAGCTGCAGCCGAACCCCAGGGGGCCGGGACCCTGAGCGTAGCACGTCCCGTTATTATGACAGGGTCCGGAGGCACAGGGGTCCACCTTCTGCTCACAGGTAGCTCCCTGGTAGCCTGCAGGAGGGAGGAGAAACGGTAGAATGGTATACCATCCAATCAATTACAATCTTCCTACCTCAGGCGTCAATATGTGGGCCTTTCTTCTTGTGTTTTTTATCAAATCAAATCAAATCAAATCAAAATGTATTATAGCCCCAAATCACAAGAAATGCCTCAAAGGGCAAAGACAAAAACAAAATACAAACGTCAAAGCATAAAAACTATAAAAACATTATACATCAACATAAGTATTGCCATGATTTATGATTTCTTATGTTTATATTTCGTATTTTCAGGTTCATATTTGAATTGTGTGCCTCTACTTGAGATGTTTACATGCTTTAATGTTCACAGCGATAAAAGAGCGTAATTCACTCCATGCAGACAAAGCATGAATCTGGGGAAAACCGTGACTTGGGTTTGAAAAAGAGCTACAAAAAAGCCTCATTTTAAACCAATTAATGATAAATAAAGTGGTGTACCCCAGGGATCTGTCCTTGGATCCCTTATATGTTTCCCCTTAATGAAATAATGTGCACATATGGTAACTGCTAGAATCCACTTCAAGACACTGGTCCTTGCGTACCATGCTGTGAATGGATCTGGCCCTTCCTACATCCAGGACATGGTTAAACCATACACCCCAGCACGTGCACTCCGCTCTGCATCAGCCAAACGGCTCGCTGCACCCGCACTGCGAGGGGGACCCAAGTTCCCATCAGCAAAAACACGTCGGTTTGCTATCCTGGCTCCAAAATGGTGGAATGAGCTCCCCATTGACATCAGGACAGCAGAAAGCTTACACATCTTCCGGCGCAGACTGAAAACTCATCTCTTTCAACTCCTCTTCGAGCAATAAAATTACTAACAAAGCACTTATATACTAACTAAGGACTGGCTTATCTAGAGCCAGTTGAGTAGCACTTGAAATGTTGTGGCTCTATGAAACCTGATGTACTTATGTGATTCTGTTTTCTTCTAGTTTGTATCTTCTTGGTCGAATGCACTTATTGTAAGTCGCTTTGGATAAAAGCGTCAGCTAAATGCAATGTAATGTAATGTAATGTTATATCACTGCTACTTTGATAAAACACAACTGTATGTTGAATTTCAAAACCACTATCGAGAAATGGCTTTCATTGTGCCTTTAAGCCTCACAACTGCTCACATGTGTAGAAGCAGCTGTGTGGATAATGTACTGACACAAAGACATCACGAAGACACCACCTTTTGTTCCTTCTTTGTTCCTTTTCTCATCATCGTTAGAGACAAAAAAAACGGCAGCTTATCAGAGTATTAATGATTGCTTTTACAGGGATGTGTTAAAGGAGGATAGTTGTGTTTCAGTCATGCTTTCACTTCTCTTTGTTGGGTTCTTCACATCCTCTCATTAGTGTGTGCACCTCTGCTTCTCTCACCTATATCCTCCACATCTAAAAATAACTTCCTCCCTTTATTCTCCACCCCTTCTCCTCCTCTGCCTTCACCTCCCCACGAGAGCTACCATTGTACTGCAGCGGGAGAAACACTACACTATATGAACACTATAAAGTGTGTGTGTGTGTGATTTACTGTAACACTGTAGTCAATTCCTGTGCCGACTGCATGGCGGTGCCCACTCAATTGAGCTAATGAAGAGATCTCTCTCAAGCTACCATTGATCTGCGAGACTTTATTTCACCGTGAGAGGAGGACATTTATCATTCGGCTGCAGAGAGGCAGGAGTCGGAGGAAAATCTCACCCGAATCTCTCTTTCTCTCTCTCTCTCTTTCACTGCTCTGCCTCAATCATATGCAAACACACATGTTCCTACATCTAAATCACAAGTGTCAAACTCAAGGCCCGGGGGCCAAATCAGGCCCGTGGTGGATTTAATTTCGGCCCGCAGGATAATTTCTAATTACTATTAGATCTGGCCCTCCGGTATATTGCACGCACACCTTCACTCAATCCTGAGGGTTTCCTCAGCTCAGAGCCTGACCCCAAACATTGATGAACTTGCACCCAAGATGAGATGCCAAGTATCTGGCTTGAACTAGCATCACAGAGCAGCACACTGAGTTTACATGGATGTTTCCTTCTGCACTTTTTTTCTCACGACAACAGGGCATGTTTGGTTTGTTCTTTGAGGGAAATTGTTTTTTTGAAGCTGCTGTTGGCCTGTGGAAAAATGTAACCATAAGAAATGACTCTGGAGAAGCTGCAGATAGAGCCATAAGAAATGAATGCAACTGATTATTTAATGTTTAATGTTGTTTTTATAGGCAATCATTTAAGCTTTGTTAGTTCCAGGTTTAATATGTGCAATAAGTTCATTTCAATAAGTTCTGCAATAAACATTGAACCAGTCCGGCCCTCGACTAGTACCCATTTTTTTGGCCCACTGTGTATTTGAGTTTGACACCCCTGATCTAAATGAATGATGAGGAAACTTCCTTCTCATTTCTGTTTGAAGCTAATGCACCTGCAGGATTCTTGCTATTGTGGTTGATTTCCCTTAGCGTAAGTGCATCTGCACAAAGCAACAGCTAAATGTAACGTAATCTATTGGTTGCGTCATGTTTTAATCCCCGTGTTTAGCTACTTAGCTCTGCATGACATCTTCCTCCTCTTGAGCTCAACATGGTCTGTTTGTTTGTCTAAATATCCATCCAAAGACACACACAAACACACACTTTTTGACACGAGACCTGACTGACTTAGAGGAGTGTGTTCTCTCATGCCGCTGGCAGTCAAACCTGCCAACATTAAAAGCAGTTAACAGTTTATATTTAGCTCTCGCTCCCCCGCCCTGTGCTTCATGACTGGAGGCAGTGCTGACACCCACACCTCATTTCTGTCAGTGTGTGTGAGTGTGAGTGAAGTAAAGTTAAAATAAGTGTGACCGTCTCTGTGGAAGAGTCAGAGTACAAAATGTACTTTAGCACATCTGTGGAGTTTCATTTCATTGATGGTGTTCGTACGGATTTGACTTTTTTGACACTTGACGTTTTAACTGAGAGTGCAAGAGGAGAAAGAAAGGAGGACACTTCGGTGCTAATGAAGTCCTAAATGTGTGTTTAGTGTCACACTCTTCTGCCCCTTTCACACCAAGGCTTTTCCCGTTCTATCTCCGTGCTAGAGCTTTTCTGGTTCGGAACCGGTTCTTCGGTTCAGCTCCCGCTCTGTTCACACCGCTCAGAGCCCGACTGGTGCTGCGTCATTGCGTCATCGTTTTGTGTCATGACGTAACCGTTTGCGTGCCTGCTTCATAAAGCCAAACCGCGCGGAAACCCCTCACATCGGCAACAACAACAATGACCGATTGTATTGAAGCGCTACTCGTTTTGGTTTTGCTCTGTCGAAACTAAATGGAACAAATGGGACGACTTTACTACCAACTTTACAGTCGTTACATGCTACATTCAAGACTTCTTTACAATCATCATCATCAACTTCAACGACGATTCCGTAGGAGAAAGAAGGTAAATATACGTCCTATTCGATGGCGTTAGAGCTAGCTGTTGTTAGCCTCTGCATGCGCCAAGCTAAAAAAAAACAGCTTTGCAGCATTAATTAAGTAAGGGATAATGTGCAGCGACGCGGTCATTATGGGGAAAAGAACACCGACAGGCTGATCAGGAGCCCGACGCGAAGCGGAGGGATCTAGATCTGCCTGAAGATGTTCTTTTCCCCATAATGACCGCGTCGCTGCACATTATCCCGCTTATTACATGGCCACATTCTCAACAAAGTAATGATATGACTCCCACTATTAATTGAAATGCTTTTATGGATTTAGAAAATGATTTTATTGATTTAAAAAATAGTTGTATGTATTGATTTAAATTGACATGCATCCGCTAAGGAAAATAGTCCGTTGTTACCGTTTGAAAAACAAAACGTAGCAACGCAACGGCAGGAAGGCGGAGCTTTTTGATTACAGATTTGAAAACATCGTTGCTTGCTTTAAAATTAGCACAATTCATTATGTCAAACCTTGGAAAGTATCTAGATATCCCTGCCCTAATGCCAAAGTAACTGACAACTGAATATGTGTCGCCGTTTGATGTCTATGTCTGGACCGCTGCGTAAAAAGGAAGGTTTCTGCCCGTTACTTCTCCGCTGTTTTCTTGTCGCTCTTGTCTTGTCAGTTAGAAAAGCAAACTGCATGCAGTTTGCTTTTCGGCCAAACTGCATACAGTTCAATCGACCGGACTTGTTTGTGCAGATTTGAGCGTCCTTAACAACGGTCATTAAGTCCTTGACAGCGGTCTGTCTGTTCTGGATTAACAACGTGTCACGTGTTCTGAATTGGCCAATCAGAATCGAGTATTCAACTAAGCCATGTAATAATATGGTATAACATTACAACTGTTGCCCCTGCCCCTGCCCCTGCCCCTGCCCCCGCCTCCGACGTAAGCGTGACGTATGCGGTGCTTGCTTTCTAGACCGACAACTTTTTGGTGCCGCTGCGGTGTGAACAGGAAAAACCGGTGCTTTTCAAGCTCCAGCTCCGGCCCTGGAACCGCGTTGGTGTGAAAGGGGCATCATTAGCCTTTGTGGGAAATTAGCAAAAAGACTGAAGATATCTTGGGATCCAAACAAACTGGTAGCGGGGGAAATGGATGCAGGAGGAACAACATTAATATTCGGAGTTTATACGTAAAGCACTCTTTGACTTTGGATTGTTAATGAATTCCTTCTTTGATATGCAATGAAGTAATGTTCTTTTATACTTTCAACTTGAAATCCATCGTTACATGTTATAAGAAAAAGATGTGTGGATGAAAAAGGTATCTTCTACGTTTGATTCTGTGTTTGAAACAGACATCTGAAGCATTTTCCTCTGATGTGTTCATCAGTATGGACGAACATCTCTCTCTTTATCTCTCTGTGCTTCTGTAACAAACACTGTTTCTGTCGATAAGGAGGACTTTAAATCGACTTCACTTTATTCCAGGGGCGTCAAACTCAATTTCCTCTCGGGCCACATTAGCATCATGGTTGTATATGTATGGGCTCAGAACAGTCT